TGGAGGAGACTGTAGCTGGAAGGAATGAACTGTGGACGGTAGATGGGCTGTGTAGGGAACAATAAAGCATAGAGTGTTTTAAAGAGATATGGAGATGGATGGCAGGAGAACTTCAGGAGAAAGATGCACAGGTGGAACTTCAAGATGATGATTTTCGTAGGTTGTACCGAGTGAGGCAGTCGTTGATAGTTAAGGAGGAAGCCGTGTGGTATTGGAAGAAGGGAGGCATGAATCTATGGAGAGCGGTGCCAGCATTACCGCCAAGGTTGCAGGAGGCATTGATTAAAGCATGTCATGATAAGTTCGGGCACCAGTGGCGGTATCGCACCCTTTCGCTTGTGTTAGGGTGTTTAGTCATCAGGTGAAATAAGCTGTGGGTGTCTAAACTTCACGTAACCCGCCAAAGAAAAATTACTTTGAGAAAGGGAGGTTGTGTTCGGTCGTAAATAGCTGAAGCCATTTCTCGTTTGTTGAAGTAGAAGTATTAAGACATTACCTGCCTGTTGGGGGAACCTTGATGGGGATACACTGCTGGGGGTTAGCAATGGCTGGTGTAATGTAGCCCCGGGTCCCTGAGCCCTAACACAGAGTCAAGGAATTGGGGAACACGATGAATGCGGATTTATAACACAACAATTACGATAAAATAGGAGAGTACTGCTCTCACATGCCTCTTCTTCTGTCCAACTATTAGATAGGATCTTATTAACTCTCCTCCTTTAGTTGATAATCTTTCTTCCCTTTCTCTTCACCTCAATGTTGCTTCACTCTCTCTCTTTTACAGGTACTTTAACGGGCAGTGCTCGGTGGATTTGGCATCCTGTGTACCGCCGGCAAGGCCGTGGGCTCGTAACACACGTCTTGATCGTGGTGCCCACCGTTTCTCTGTGGATGTCGGTTACACGAGAATAACCTGTTATAGTACCCTGTACATCCTTCTTTCCTCACACAGCCAAACTGTCTCACTTTAAAAAGCTGGTTTTCCGGCATCTTTGTGGTGTAGATTAACACAGTATAACCTTTTTCTTCTCTATTTTCAATTTCTTTCTGTTCTTATTTGTTCGCCCCTCAGGCCTGTTATGGTTCGTTTGACCTGTGCCCGGGTGGGTTAATTCCTGTAAAAAAAAATAGAAAAAAAAATAGTGAAGGTCTGCAGGGGCCACAGAATCTCAGTTGTGTCGTGCAGTTACCAGCGGTCTGGGGGTGTCGACAACCTGCCAGACACACGTTCTTGCTTGCTCGTGCACCCCTGCTCTGAACACAAGATCTTCCGTCTATCTTCCTCCTCTATACATGTAGTGATGTAATGTTTAGTAAGATATATTTGTATCGATGCTGCGGCAAGTGTACACAGGAGACATCATCTGTAGCGTCCTTGTAGAGTTAGACCTCAAACAGACGATCCGCCATGACAAGAAGAGTGTCCCTCATCACAAGTAAAATACTGCAACATATCTCAGGCGAGTGTAGGGAGGAATGAGGCCAAGCGGTGCAAGAAATCTTACATAAATTAGAAATGGAATTCGCGGGGTTGTGTGAGTGGATGTCGGTGTGTGTTGGGAACTGAGGATGACAAGTAATAAAAAAAACAAAACATTGTCACTGATCACACTTACGTCTTGGAGGCTTCGACCGTAGTGGGCGCCCGGCAGCTCGACGTACTGCAGATAAGGGTCTTCTTCTTCTTGTTTGCCGAAGCCCTTGATGAGGTAAATAAAGGGACTCCAGATTTTGTTCAGGTCGACAGGGATGGGCAGGACCCCACCAGCATACAGTATCACGATCTTGAGGAAAGCAATAGCGAGGAGAAACATCTGTGCCGCCGACAGCTCACCTAGGGCGAACCCGAGTGTGTTGCTGGGGGTGACGGACACACTAGTTATCACTCCACCAGCGGGTTCCTCCCATAGTGCCAGGAAGAGGGCCAGGAACAACAGCGTCCACAGTCCACGGTCACCCTTCATCTCTCTCTCAAAGTTTTAGCTTTTCCACGGGGACTTAAACTACCTGTAATAGCTTCAAGTGTCGTCCGAGATAAGTTTTAAGACAGCGAGGTGTTGGTGTTTCACTTCTCGATCTCTCACCTGTAGCAAAAAGTGTCAACAAAAACTCTGAAATTTGACGCCACAAATATATTTACACGGACATAGTAGTCGACCACCTAGTTCGATCGGTTTACCCACCCACCACACTGTAACTCAGCCACCCACCACTCTGTAACTCAGCCACCCACCACACTGTAACTCAGCCACCCAGCACAGTAACTCTCAGCCACCCACCACACTGTAACTCAGCCACTCACCACTCTGTAACTCAGCCACCCAGCAACTCAGCCACTCACCACTGTAACTCAGCCACCCAGCACACTAACTCAGCCACCCACCACTCTGTAACTCAGCCACCCACCACACTAACACCACCAGTAACTCAGCCACCCAGCACACTAACTCGGCCACCCAGCACACTAACCAGCCACCCACCACTCTGTAACTCGGCCACCCACCACTGTAACAGCCACCCAGCACACTAACTCAGCCAGCCACCCACCACACTGTAACTCAGCCACCCACCACACTAACTCAGCCACCCACCACACTGTAACTCAGCCACCCACCACTCTGTAACTCAGCCACCCAGCACACTAACTCAGCCACCCACCACACTAACTCAGCCACCCACCATACTAACTCGGCCACCCAGCACACTAACTCAGCCACCCAGCACACTGTAACCACGACCGCCGCTCACCACACACTGAAGCCTCTCCAACACAACTAGCGTCTCCGGCGCGGGCAACGTTGCGCGTAATGATTCACACACACACACGCATATATACATCGCTGTGTGTGTATAGCGTATATCTTCATCTAAATCTTAACAAGTTTGATGTATTCTGGAAGTATTTGACTCCATGTGTGTGTTAAATATACAAGATATACACACAAATATACTGAAGGCACTGTATACAGGATGACAGCCAATCACGTATGCATATTGCATCATGATTCTGTATTCAACACACCAACCAATGGGCAGAGAGAGAGGCTTGATGACGTTACGGTATTATTACTAAGCTCTGATTGGATAAAATATCAATGGAACTATGTAGTATTGTGACCTTATGACGACATAATGACGGTCCATGATCCCTACACAGATCCAAAACACAGGTCATAGGTCAAAAACACAGGTCATGGGTCATAGTCTCGTAGAATACAGTAATCACGTATGTAAAAATTAGTATCCAAAGTTAAAAATCACAGAGGTGTTTTTCCGAAGTGTTGTTTAAAAATCCACCATCATTGCCCAACTTGGAATATAATTTTTTTGAGTATTTCTTTATTAATTCTCTAAGTTATCGAAGCCAAATTCACCCAGTAACGGGATATAGTTAACGAGTGATAGGCTTTGTATACAGTCGAAGATTATGTTAACTATTATTGTGTTTTTATGTTAAATGAAGCAGTTAGTTGTATTCTTGCATTTCACTCCCCGATATATTTATCATGTGAACCGGAACCAAGCGAGCGTGTGTAGGTCCCGGTACAAGGTGGTGGTCCAGATGTGTGACTGGCGGTACCTCTTGATTGCTTGTACCTCGGGGATGCATGGTGTAGCTTTGGTACTGTAGTGTGTGTGTGAGAGAGAGAGGAGGAGGGAAGGGTGAGAGGAGGAGGGAAGAGGTGAGAGGAGGAGGAGGGAAGAGGTGAGAGGAGGAGGGAAGACAATAGTCACAGCGCATCATTAAAACACTTCATATTTACCTTCAATACATTACAAATACAAAATGAACCGATTATTAATTATTTTGTATTTGTGTATTCAGGATTTCAGACTCACTGCAACGTGAGTCTACTAATAACAGTGTGGCGTTTGTGGTGTCAGTGTGGCGTTTGTGGTGTCAGTGTGGCGTTTGTGAGATGAAGCCTTGTCGACAGTAATGGTAGTTATGGGTCACTTTCAACGATATTTCTGGTTTTCTGTCGTTATGCAGAACCTATATTACGTGTGTGTGTGTGTGTGTGTGTGTGTGTGTGTGTGTGTGTGTGTGTTATCACATTCAAGGGGTCAAGTCATCGTCCTCAAGGGGTCAAGGTACTAGGTGCAGGATCAGCGTACAAGGATACAGTACTAGGGCCGGGTACTAGGGCCGGGTACTAGGTGCAGGATCAGCGTACAAGGATACAGTACTAGGGCCGGGTACTAGGGCCACCATAACAACACCAACCCAACACACAAAGCCTCGCTACCTGGAGCTGGTATCATCTGTCACAGCTGTCATCAGGCTTTCACCAAACACCCACGGCTGACGTGTATACCTTCCTATTACCTCCACCCTGACGGAACTCCTGATCTGGCCTCCATGGATGACAGGAACGTATTTTTTGCCTCCTGTTCCACGCTATTATTAAGTAAATTCCACGTGTATGGGGGCATTGTAGGCACTAAATTGTTCTTGGAAGCCTTACAAACCCCCTCCCTTCCCCTTCTTCCTCCTCCTCCTCTCCCCCCTTCCTCCTCTACAGTCTTCCACAATATTCTTACCAGTCTCTCCTCTTCCTCCTCCTCCTCCTCCTCGTCTTCAGCCTTCCATAATATTTTTGCCAGGTAGAGGGTGAGCCAGAAGTGTTTACAGTCAGTACTCACTGTAGATGGGAGGGTGTGTGTGTGTGTGTTAGGTAGAGGGAGAGCCAGAAGTGTTTATAGTCAGTACTCACTGGAGTGTGTGTGTGTGTGTGTGTGTGTTAGAGGGTGAGCCAGAAGTGTTTACAGTCAGTACCACTGTGGATGGGAGGGTGTGTGTGTGTGTGTTAGGTAGAGGGAGAGCCAGAAGTGTTTACAGTCAGTACTCACCGTAGATGGGAGGGTGTGTGTGTGTGTGTTAGGTAGAGGGTGAGCCAGAAGTGTTTACAGTCAGTACTCACCGTAGATAGGAGGGTGTGTGTGTGTGTGTGTGTTAGGTAGAGGGAGAGCCAGAAGTGTTTACAGTCAGTACTCACCGTAGATGGAAGGGTGTGTGGGTGTCGTCGTGTTCGTCGTCCGAGGTTGATGTTCATGGGAATGAGGCCCACAGCCCACATCAACACGAACACCACCGTCGACACAGCTACCAGACTAAACTGCATCAAATTCAGCTTACCGAAGTCGACGAAATCTGAGGATGAGACGAGATGTTTATGGTTACAGCTTATATCCTGACTAACCTGTATACGTCTTGTGGATTGTGTATTATTGGATTTATACAGAAGGTGTTTGGCATAGTGTATCGAGATGTAAAACTTATTGATTAGTTCAAATTAATAATACTAATCAGACTCAAACGAAAGTATTATCTCGTGGTTTTCCCATGGTGAAGGAGGCCAAGTTGTCCCGTAGAGAGCGCCACTCCCTCCTACCAGCAGCTCGCCAAGTTGTGGTCACTCTGCTCCTCTCACCGTCATTAATGGCGCCAACAAAAACAACACCTCATTATGCTGCTTAAGTGTGATAATAACTCAGCAGTCAGCATAGTTGTTGCTAATGTGACCCTTCCAACTATACTCCGCCTCAGGTCACTTGACAGTCTTCTGAACTGGACCACAGACAGACAGCCATAATTGACAGTGTATTAAATTGGATCCAAAACATCCTGATGCAGTGACTGTGCCACAACACAAGATGCAGGAGTCTATCTCGATCATTAAACTAAAGCAGTCGGGTAAACACCTGAGATAACCCTATTGGCCCAGATACCTAGGCTTAACTCTGGCCCATCTAGGTTGACACATGGCCACTGTAGGCTAACACATGGCCACCTAATGACAGAGCAACAGCCAGCATGTGACGACTGCATGGTGTCCTTCGTTAAGAAACACATGTTGGTCGAGTGCCCTAGTGCGAGGGACCTCAGGAGGCTGCATCTCTCCTGCAGGTCTCATGGAGGTGATGGTTACTGCCGCCTGTCCTTGGTTCTCGGAGCAGATGTAATATTTTCAGAGGATTTTATTAAGAGTTTTATGAGGACGCTACCAAACCCTCATCCACAGTATTCAGGAAAGTTTATTAACAGAATAGTTGTGATTAGGGTTGTTGTATCCTACGTGTAGGGTCTTGCATTTCGTAATGTTAAAGAGTATTTACCATTCTCGAGACACGTTTAAACAGCTCATTCAGGTCTTTTTGCATTGTTTGACATCCTCTTGACTTGTTATCTTCCCAAATATCCTCGTGTTGTTGCCAATTGTCCCCGAGCTCTTTATTGCTGTTGGTGAATTGTCAGTACAGGGATTATGTACACACAACTATACTGTTACTCTCTCGAGGTTCTGTGCCTTCTTTAGTATCTCCTCCTGTGGACTGAGCGTTGACCAAGTCTCTCTACACTTGTGATGTACAACTCGTCTACAAAGTCAACCACATTTCTCAGGATCTGTTTGACTGGTGGTTCATTACGTTGTTTCTAAGCTTAGCTAATAACAGTTTCCGTCTCCCCCGACCACCTCTTCCACTGTTCGATAATTAATCATAATTAATGGTTTTTGTCCAGCTTATGGGTAAACACTCATTTATCCCTTAAGGTAGTGACTTATCAATTAAATTAGTGGTAGAGGTGGTGGGGTGTCAGCCGCTCTTAATAGGGGTGTAGGTGTGGGGTCCTGGAGGTGGGGTCCAGTGGGGGGGGTGTGGGGTCCAGGATGTGGGGTCCAGGGGTGTGGGGTCCTGGGGTGTGGGGTCCTGTGGGGGGTCCAGGGGTGTGGGGTCCCTGGTGTGGGGTCCAGGGGGGTGTGGGGTCCAGGGGTGTGGGGGGGGGTGGGGTCCTGGAGGTGAGGGTCCAGGGGGTGGGATCTAGGGGATGTGGGGTCCAGGGGTGAGGTCCAGGGGTGTGGGGTCCAGGGGTGTGGGGTCCAGGGGTGTGGGGTCTGGGGATGTGGGGTCCAGGGGGTGAGGGGTCCTGAAGGTGTGGGGTCCTGGAGGTGGGGTCCAGGGGGGGGGGGTAGGGGATGTGGGGTCCAGGGGGGTGTGAGGTCCAGGGGTGTGGGGTCCAGGGGGGTGTGGGGTCCAGGGTGTGTGGGGTCCAGGGGTGTGGGGTCCAGGGGGTGTGGGGTCCAGGGGGTGTGGGGTCCAGGGGGTGGGGTCAGGGGGTGTGGGGTCCTGGGGGTGTGGGTTCCTGGGTGTGTGTTCCTGGGTTCCTTGTGTGGGGTCCAGGGGGGTGTGGGTTCCTGGGGGTCCAGGGCGTGTGGGGTCCGGGGGTGTGTGGTCCAGGGGTGTGAGGTGTGTGGTCCAGGGGTGTGGGGTCCTGGGGGTGTGGGTTCCTGGGTTTGTGGGGTCCAGGGGGTGCGTGGTCCAGGAGGTGTGGGGTCCTGGGGGGTGGGTTCCTGGGTTTGTGGGGTCCAGGGGGGGGTGCGTGGTCCAGGAGGGGTCAGGTGCCTATAATACACGTTTTCAGTTTACTGGTTCAGTTACCTCACTGTTAATGTTCCACGATACAACTCTCGCTGTTACCGTTGTTGTAACACACTAAAACTTCACGACTTGATGACCTGGCACCGCGGTGACCTGTGATGCACGAGTTACCAGGTCATTGATTTTCTCTCGTTCATTATCCCTGTTTCTTATTGTAGTGCGTTGGTCTTGGTGTTACTCGGTGTCTCACCAGGATAACTTTGGTGGTATTATTAATTCATTGCCCGAGTCTTAAAGTCTTCAAATGTTTCGAATGACAATTGTTTTCTTAGCAAGGCCCAGCACGGCACATCTACACACGTGACACTACACGCTATTCAATTACTCTAGAATATATCTGTAACTGCGCCAGTGTTGGTCAAGTTTGATCTTAAATAAGATGGTGCCGTGACAACACTCTCTGGCAGGTTATTACAACACCTCACAACTCTCACTCCAAAGAAGTTAGCGGAGATAGTTTTATTTTACTCGTGGAGTCTTTATCTTGTGGGCTAAATTATAATACAGAACCATCTCTCGATAGTTTAAACCTATTTAACAAACATTTTCTCAGCGTATAATGTCTTATCAACAAAGGCTTGAGTTACACCACGCAAAGAAACCATTTTCTTTAAATGGGTCTTCAAGGGAAACTCTTATAAACATTTGTAACCACTACTAAAGACGCTGTTGACGTGGATATTTGGATTCAGCCTCACTGACTCACTCCAGAAGTAAACATGAAGATTTACCCTGACAATGAAGCTAGCCCGGCTTAATATACCATGGGTTTTATGAATCAGTCCAGGCGTCATGTATCACACACACTGGTCGAGATAAGACAACCCTTTGGTACTACTGTCACTCAATCACTAGATATCATTCATATAAACCACAGATTTCTTTCTTAATTATAATTTTAACATGGAACGAATACAGACACAGTACTTAACCACGAGATTATACTTTTGTTTATGTTTCACTTTTCCCTGGGTGTCACAAGACGTATTCAATACAAATGTAAAGAACAATATTTCAAGACGAGCAAACATACATCATTTACATAATGGTCATTTAATATTGTGAATTTTACATCTAATAACAAACCTGACTAAAATCTCAATAAAGTAAAGTAAAATATCGAAAAAATAAAGACGAAATAAGTGAAAAGACGAGGACATGATTCTCAAACATTCCTGATACGTGACACTGTAAGACTGTACTACAAGTTTGCCTACAGTGTAACACAAAGAGCTACATCCAATTACTACTTAGACTATACCTACCTAGATACAGTCACTTAAGGCAGATAGGTCTTTTAGTTAGTAAGAGGGTCAGAAGTCTTGTGGCTAGTAAGAGGGTCCGAAGTCTTGTGGCTAGTAAGAGGGTCAGAAGTCTTATGCCTAGTAAGAGGGTCAGAAGTCTTGTGGCTAGTAAGAGGGTCAGAAGTCTTGTGGCTAGTAAGAGGGTCAGAAGTCTTGTGGCTAGTAAGAGGGTCAGAAGTCTTGTGCCTAGTAAGAGGGTCAGAAGTCTTGTGGCTAGTAAGAGGGCCAGAGGTCTTGTGCCTAGTAAGAGGGTCAGAGGTCTTGTGCCTAGTAAGAGGGCCAGGTTTTGTGCCTAGTAAGAGGGCCAGAGGTCTTGTGCCTAGTAAGAGGGCCAGGTCTTGTGGCTAGTAAGAGGGCCAGGTTTTGTGCCTAGTAAGAGGGCCAGAGGTCTTGAAACTAGTAAAATGCCAGAGATATTATGATTAGTACGAGTGCCAGGATGTCGTGACGTCAATAAAACTACCAGGAGGAGTGCCACTTACCGCCTAGTTCTATCTCCGCATCTTCGAACACTGCCTGGCACTGATCGATGAGGAAGGCCGGGGATAGCGCCACCCCCCACCACAACCACCAAACATCCATTTTTCTTCCTCTTCAACACTGGGGTGGTAATATATCACTATTGGTAGTTGTTTGTGTTGCCAGGTTATTATTTCACTTCACTTTTTGATACATAGGATAAAATCAATAATATCAGTTCACTTTTTATTTTCATATCACCAATAAAAACGGAAGTGAACCAATTGTAGTATTGAGAAAATATTGAAACAAAGTACTACTTATTTCACGTATTTTCTAACATCACTATAAATTAAGTATGTCGGATGCACTTGAGGTACACGAAATAAACATAAACCGATGTATTTGATTAATTTCGTGGTTCTCGCTGTTTACAATCACATGTCACCGAGTTGTAATTGATATCGGAGAAGTTGAGTGTTGTAGGGTGAGGCTGGCTAGGGTTGGGGGGTTCTTCCTCCTCCTCCTCACCTCCGTAATCTTCCTCTCACCTGTAAAGAGAGAAGAGAAAGTTGTTGTAAAAAGATAAAATAATTTTGTTTTGCGAGCTAAGTGTTATGGGCTTCAGAGGGTTCATCTTCGGGTATCAATATAGGGGTGCGTCTCAGGGGTTCGCTTTATGGGTTAGGTATTGTGATTTATCTTATGGTTTCAATACAGGGCAGAACAGGTGTGAGGTACTCTTGCGGCAGGTGTGAGGTGTGGTGTACATTACTGAATATCCTTGACCCACCCCACACCCCACATACTCTCCCACACCCCTACACACTACACACTCTCTCCCACGCCCCTACACACTCCCACATACTCGCCCACACCCTTACATGCCCTTACACCAAAGACTATAAATGGAAGAGAGGAACGTTCTAATTAGAGTAACTGAATCGAAGGTAGGCGTTATAGATACCAGATACCTCAATAATAGCGCCATCTGTTGGCATAGTCCATGCTTACTTCTGACGTCAGAGGTAATGTATGATGTCATCGATGCTTTTCAATACTAAGAAGACTATTTACTTGTATTATAGTTATCAATCTTTTATAAACCTACAAATATGAATTACAGTATTTGAGAATTTTTTTATAATATTTGTTTCTTTAGAACATCCTACATCTTCTATTTAAAACTGATTTAAGTGTCATATATCACAATTATTTTTCTAGTCTTGTCTTCAAACAAATCTATGAAATATATAATGTTTAGTTTCATAACATCGTTGAGTAAACAAAGAAAACATTCTTAGAGATTACCTTCATTACTTTAATCTTTATGTCAAGTTAAATAGAATTTGGCTCTACAGTACAGTGCGGTAGAGGCAGCACATGCAGCTCAACCCTACTACAAACACTTACAGTAGCTTAGAAATGTGAATTATCATCATCGAGGTGTGCCGCCATCACACTAGACTGTGACTGACCTAACCTCTCATGTTGCCTGAGTAGACAGTTTGTCATACTCAAGATAGACATAAGGTGAACATGACTAAGCATTATAAACAAAGTCACGCACCATGCACAGACGTCACACTAGATGGAGGTGCCAAATAGCGATTATGACTCATTTTTATCGTCCTCTCCTGTTTTCGATTTATGGTCTTTGCCTAAACACTCCCACACCCCCACACATCCCCATATACTTCCCACACTCCTACACCCTCCACACGCTCCCACATCCACGCCCCCACCACGTCAGGGGCTCGGGGTTCGAGTCAGAAATACTGATGGATGTCAAACTTATCCCATACAATACCTGGTTCATACTCCAGGGTCCGGCAGATGAGACGGTACCAGCCCTAGTTGCTGACTCTCCGTCCCACAAGACTCGATAAACAATAACATTCCAAACTGCTCCAGAATAAGTGGTTCTTTGTACCAGGTAAGGATAGCAAGGGAGGCGAAGACAAACCCCAAAGGATTCTACCAAATGTATCAAACTAAAACACGAGAAAAGATTGGACCAATACGGTCAGACTCCGGCGAGCTCACTGATAGCGACGGAGAAATGAGCAATAATCTGAATAAATATTTTTCAACAGTTTTCACCACCGAAAATTTAAACATGATACCCGAGGCACCGACTCTATTCAGAGATAGTGAAGAAAACAAATTAAGTGAGATAGTAGTGACTAGTAACGATGTTAGTAAGCAAATAGACAAACTAAAGCCTAATAAGTCACCTGGTCCCGATGAGATATTTGCCAGAGTATTAAAGGAATGTAAGGAAGAGCTTAGTATGCCCTTAGCAAAGTTGTTTAACATGTCATTAAAAACAGGTGTAGTACCAGAATCCTGGAGGATAGCGAATGTAATACCGATTTTCAAGAAGGGGGATAGATCACTATCCTCTAACTACCGCCCAATCAGTCTAACATCAATAGTAGGCAAATTACTGGAAGCAATCATTTCAAACTCTATTCGAAATCACCTGGAGAAGCACGGATTGATCAATGATTCCCAGCATGGCTTCACAAGCGGGCGTTCTTGCCTAACTAATCTATTAACATTCTTTTCATCAGTTTTCGAATCGGTGGACGAGGGGCACAATTATGATGTGGTATATCTCGACTTTAGCAAAGCCTTCGACAGAGTCCCCCACGAAAGACTAATTAGAAAGGTAGAAGCTCATGGCATCAAAGGTAACATCCTTAAATGGATTAGGGCGTGGTTACAGGACAGGAAACAGCGAGTGAGCATTAACGGCACTAAGTCCCATTGGAGCAACGTCACAAGTGGAGTTCCCCAAGGCTCAGTACTTGGACCATTATTATTTATTATATACATAAACGACATAGATATCGGCATAGACAGCAACATAAGTAAATTTGCTGATGACACTAAAATAGGACGTGTTATTAAATCTGACGAGGACTCAGCAAAACTACAGGAAGATCTAAACAAATTTTCGAATGGTCTGAAAAATGGCAGATGAAATTCAACGTGGACAAATGTAAAGTACTCAGTATAGGAGATGTAAACAGGGAAACCAGATACCAGATGAACAACGATGCCATAGAGAAATCCGACTGCGAGAGAGATTTAGGAGTAATGATAAGTAGGAACCTTAAGCCAAGTAAACAATGTGTTTTTGCTCGTAACAAGGCTAATAAAGTACTTGGGTTCATACAAAGGAGTGTTAGTTACAAGACTAGCGAGGTCATCCTAAAACTGTATCTTGCTCTAGTGAGACCACACAGGATTACGCAGTTCAGTTCTGGTCACCGTATTACAGAATGGATATAGAATCCTTGGAAAGAATTCAGAGGAGAATGACAAGACTAATCCCGGGCATTAGGAACCTTGAGTATAGAGACAGGTTAAAGCATCTTAATCTGCACTCCCTTGAGACGTAGAGCGAGGGGCGACCTGATAGAGGTGTATAAATGGAAGTCAGGGCTAAACAAAGGGGATATTACAAAGGTACTCAAACTATCCAACCAGGAGCGAACTCGTAACAATGATTTTAAATTAGACAAATTTAGATTTAGGCTTGAAATAGGTAAACACTGGTTTGGAAACAGAGTAGTGGATGAATGGAACAAGTTACCAAATATCATCATTAACTCGAATACGCTGAATTGCTTCAAACATAGGTTGGATGCTCATATGAGCAATAGGGGTTGGGTGTAAACGGGACTGCCCAGTATGGGTCAATAGGCCTGCTGCAGTTTCCTCCATTCTTATGTTCTTATGTTCTTATATCAACACCCGAGGACGAGTTACTACACCACCTGAACACCACACCACCCGGTGTCTCTATGATCAGCCCAGGCCCGGGCCATTAACTGTAAACTATAATAATTTGTATGTTCAATCATTGTTCCTTCTTTCAGTAATGAAAGCTTTTGTTAAACGACCCACCCACCCCATGTCTTTGTATGTAATAAGTCATTTTTGTCCAATGTATATTTTCAGCCTTCGGGCAGCCGACTTTTTCAATAAACCGTTAATTATTATTATTATTATTATTATTATTATTATTATTATTATTATTATTATTATTATTATTATTATTATTATTATTATACATACACACGCGCACTTTTGGCAGGTAAGTGGAGAGAGTACATGTGTGGTAGGAAAATGTTATCAGTTCAAAATATATAAAACATTGCAACAGAGACGAGAGCGTCCCGATTACAGAACAAGGGAGATATTGTTGGAGAGAGAGAGAGTGTGTGAGTTAGAGAGTTAGAGAGAGAGTGTGTGTGAGTTAGAGAGTTAGAGAGAGTGTGTGTGAGTTAGTGAGTTAGAGAGAGAGTGTGTGAGTTAGAGAGAGAGTGTGTGAGTTAGAGAGAGAGTGTGTGTGAGTTAGAGAGAGAGAGAGTGTGTGAGTTAGAGAGAGAGTGAGACACACGGGCCATACTATAACACTCGGCTGATAAACACAACACAGATATCTCTACAAAAAAAAACTTACTTCAATAACCACTTAAGCATAACCTAACTTGACCTGACCTAACTTTAATGGATTAAATGATAGGTTAAGGGAGGGAAAAGGTAAACAAAAAGTTATTGACTCTCTGGTTGGCTGCAGGATTAGTTGCTGGGTCCCGTGCTGTTTGTGAAGTTGTATGAGTGGTAGTGTAGGTGTTAGTGTGGTAGTGAAGTAGTGGTGTAGGTTAGGTTAGGTTAGGTTAGGTTAGGTTAGGTTAGGTTAGGTTAGGTTAGGTTAGGTTAGGCCAGGTCAGGTTAGGAAGTCTGTTGAACGATGTTATTTATTTATATTAACTTTGTCTAAGGCTCTCACACGATCACCAAGACACTTACCTGGTCACCAAGACACTCACCTGTTCACCAAGACACTCACCTGGTCACCAAGACACTCACCTGGTCACCAAGACACTCACCTGGTCACCAAGACACTCACCTGTTCACCAAGACACTCACCTGGTCACCAAGACACTCACCTGGTCACCAAGACACTCATCTGGTCACCAAGACACTCACTCACCTGGTCACCAAGACACTCCTGGTCTGAGACACTCACCTGGTGCAAGACCTCATCTGGTCACCAAGACACTCACCTGGTCACCAAGACACTCACCTGGTCACCAAGACACTCACCTGGTCACCAAGACACTCACCTGGTCACCAAGACACTCACCTGGTCACCAAGACACCCACCTGGTCACCAAGACACCCACCTGGTCACCAAGACACCCACCTGGTCACCAAGCCTCCCCCTGGTCACCAAGACCTCACCTGGTCACCAAGACACCACCTGAGCACTACAGTATACCTCTGGTCCCCGGCGTGCAAGACACTGGCGGGTGCGGCCCTCACTAGTGCACGAGCAGGACTCTGACCATAAGTATGTGAGTCTACCTCCATCTCTCTCTCTCTCTCTCTCCTCTCTCTCTCTCTCTCTCTCTCTCTCTCTCTCTCTCTCTCTCCAAGTTCCCTCCCTCTCTCCCCCCATCTTATTCTCATATCCTCCCCCTCCCCATCTGTCGTCCCAAACATCCCTCCCCACTCTCTCCCCATCTTATC